AATACCTGTTATGTTATTTCGTTTTATTTCTTACCAATTTCTTATTTTGTTTTAATAAACGAAATTTGTTTTGTTTTTCATACTTTTATTTCTTAACAATTTGTTATTTTATTGTAATAAACGAAATTTGTTCTGTGTTTCATACTTTTATTTCTTTACAATTTGTTATTTTATTGTAATAAACGAAATTGGTTCTGTTTTTTATGCTTTTTTATTTTTAAAGTACTGTTAAATCTGGCGATTTAAACATAAAATTATATAAAATTTTAATAATTTAAATTAAATTTAAGTGTTCCAAATTATTTGTTTTAAAATCAACTATTTGTCAATCAGCAAAATTATAAATTTCGACCTCAATTAATCTTAAAGTAATCATTTTTGTACCTGTATTGTTACCAAATGTGGTCACACAAATATAAGTTAATATTACTTAGGTTAGCAAAAATATGTATATAAATAGTGATAATTTAATAAATAAAACCAGTTACATTTTAACTCACAAACTCGACTTTACTATTGCCCCAAGCCACAAACCCTTAGAACGTGAGGCTGCGTTCTACAGTATTCAACAACCAGCAGATAATTTATCAATTATCTCTGGTCAACATTAACATAACAGCATTGCTGTTATTCATGGTCCTTCGAACAACGTTGAATCAACTAATGAAGCCAGAAGAAACTGCACATCAACAATCAAACTCCTGGAAAAGGCCCTTTAAAATTAACTTAAAGGGCATAGATACGTACTCCGACACCCCGTACAACCCCGTGAGCAACGACCCACGCTGTTGGAAAGGAAAATATACCAATCAACCCCAACCAATCAACTGGAAGCTAAGTCCAATAGACTGCGGGCAAGAATTACAAACATACCAGTACAAGGTACCAAAAACAATCGAAAACGACCCTAGGCGCTTGTACTTAGACCTTCACTGGGAAGCACGCCGACAAGCAAAGAACTTACAACTATTTGGACCGGACCCATTGGAAACAGAGCAAGAACAGATCCAAGATGCCCGGCCCTGGCGATCAACCATCCACCTGGGAAGTCAACCACCAAGAAGGAATGAGCAAAGAAGCAATTATTGAAGCAACAAACCAACTATGTCTTCTTCAAGAAGGCATAAGCAAACAGTTGAGTCAACTGTATACCAATACAAAAAAGGATTCACCCTCTCGAAAAACACAAGCGTACTTAAAAGAAAGGAGTGCCCTTGCGATGCAATTACTACATCAAGCCAAGGAAAATCATCAGAAGATCCAAAATTTTGGTTTAAATGAACACCCCTACATCGTGCAGAAGTACTTTGGTCAAATGGAAAAGCTTCAGGATGAGATAATGAAGTACCTGGAAAACTGTCCTAAAGCAGCCCCAAATCCCAGTGGTGTAACAACTTATCCAAAAGAAAGCCCGTCAACAGGAACAACCCCTTCGTTGGACATTCACCCTGCTGCATCCACGACAGAATTAAGGAATGCAGTTCCCAGTACTGAATCGTCAGTGGAACAAAGAGATACAGGAACCAATGATCAGGCGAGACGTATTCGCATACAAAACGTTCGCTTTGACATGCTGGATCGTACCATCTACACCATCAACTCCGAATTACTAGAAGAGAAACCCAAAATTCGATTGGAATTTTTGCTGCAAAAAGTCAACAAATTGTGGACATCAATAATTGAGCTCAATGAAGAAATTGTAGCGGAAGGCACAGTAACAGACCATCCCTACTTTACAGAGGATACCTTCTGGACAATGGAACAAAGAGTGGAAGAAATTTGTGAACAAATCCAGATCAAAATCTCTTGCACCCTGGCAAATAACAAACCCAACATTACTTTGCCAAAAATACAGCTACCAACATTTAAAGGTGGTTATGAAAATTGGACATCCTTCCACGATGTCTTTTGCCGGGTGATCCATGAAAATACTACCATCTCAAACGTGGAGAAGATGCAATATTTAAAAACACATGTACGTGAAGAAGCAGCCAAATTAATCCAACATCTCCACATAACTGACGCAAACTATACAACAGCCTGGGCATTATTACAAAATCGATACCAAAACAATAGGCTCATAGTAGCAAAATTGGTGGACCAAATACTGGACATTCCCAAAGTACAGCAAGAATCACTACAACAAATCAGAAAGATTCACGATGTCATACACGAATGCCTAAAGGCGATAAACAATTTGGGCATAGATACTCAACCATGGGGACCCATCATTGGTCGAATCATCAGCCGAAAATGGGATCCAGAGACTAACAAACTATACGAACAGTCTCTCGCCCATCCGACGGAAGTACAATCCCTTGAGGAGTTAATGAAATTTCTTGAAAGGAGGTTTCAATCATTGGAAAACACAGTTACCACGAACCCTGTCACTACGATTACTAAATACTCCTATCCTCGTAGCACATTCAATTCAACAACTTTTCGAAACAACGAAAAATCAAACTCTTGTGGTATCTGCCAAGAATCACACACAATCTTCAAGTGTCCAACCTTCATAAATAAAAAAACCGAAGAACGCATACAGTTAGTAAAAGAAAAAGGGCTGTGTTTCAATTGTCTTCAACATGGATTCAAAGAAAAATGCAGCAGCCAAGTACGATGTCACACATGCGGCCAACGCTATCATACATGGTTACACCAAGAATATAAACAACAACCAAAGAAATATACTAAAACTGTGGCAAACATAAGCACCAAAAAAGAAGATGCCATCTCAACAAAAACACCAATCGTAAGGGTAGATCATTCTAACCGGAGCGATAAAACGGCTCTACTAGCGACAGCACTCGTTCGCACACGAACAAGAAACAGTAACCTTGAATATCTTAGGGTATTAATCGACCAAGGATCGCAGGGCGCGTTTATGACTGAACAAGCAGCTCAAATGTTAGGAGTCCCTCGGAAAAAGATCGCCCAAGAAATTTCAAGACTAGGAGGGGGAGATTCAAAAATATGCCGATCACAAGTAACCTGTACTTTATTGCCCGGATTCCCTAGCAACTACACAATTCAGATTGACTTCATGGTACTGCCAAAATTAACATAAATTCTTCCATTTCAACATTTGGAGTCAAATATTCCATCAGCATGGGAGAATCTCCCATTAGCTGATCCAACATTTAACATACCAGGACCCATTGATGCAATCTTGGGAGCCGAAGCCGAAGCTTAATAATAGACGAGGGCATTCACAAAACCAATGCCGGTCTTCTAGGACAAGAAACAAAGTTGGGTTGGATCCTGTCTGGAAGCATAAAAAGAGCCAACAGCAAAAAAATACAATAATATGCACAGTGAGCCGAGTGGAAGACCAACAACTCACCAAGTTTTGGGAGGATGAAGAAATTCCTTCAACGGCCACAAAGCCTTTGTCGCAAGAAAACCTTGCATGCGAAGAATTCTATGAACAAACCCACATTAGAGCAGCGGATGGAAAATACACAGTAAGAATTCCATTCAAACAAAACCCCCCACAATTGGGTCATTCAAGATCCAAAGCAGTTGCCCGCCTCATGCAGCTCGAGAACAAGTTGGGAAAACACAAACACGAAGCCTTGAGGCGACAATACCATGACTTCATGCAGGAATATTTAGACCTTGGACACATGAAGTTGGTGCCTCCAAGCCAACACAAAGAAGGAAAATATTATATTCCACATCAGCCGGTCATTAAAGAAGACAGCATCACCACTAAACTCCGAGTGGTATTTGATGCATCATCGAAAACAACCAACGGTACAAGCCTAAATGAAACCATGCATGTCGGGCCAAGACTGCAACAAGATCTGTTTGAAATTATTTTGAGATGGAGAAAACACACTGTAGTGTTCTGTGCAGATGTGGAAAAAATGTATCGCCAGATCTACATCAACGATCAAGACCAAGACTACCAACGGATTCTTTGGCGATTTGACCCCAATCAACCAATCCAAGAATATGCCTTGACGACAGTCACATATGGAACAGCTTCAGCACCTTATCTCGCAGTAAAAACATTGCAAAAATTAGCCATAGATGAAGAAAACAAATATCCCTCAGCGTCAAACACCATCTTAACAGACTTCTTTGTTGATGATCTCATGACAGGAAGTGATTCCATTGCATCAGCCACTCAACTTCAAAGCGAAATAATCAACATTCTTAAGTCTGGAGGAATGAAACTACGAAAATGGTCAACAAACAAAAAAGAACTACTGTCGAGTCTCCCTGAAGAGTTACAAGACCAGACCGTAACAGACATCACTAAAGATGGCATAAAAAAGGCCTTGGGAGTGTGCTGGGCCCCTTATGATGACAAATTTTGTTTCAAAGTACAAACTGCCATTATAACCAAATACACAAAAAGGAATATACTGTCGGAAGTAGCAAAACTGTTTGATCCCCTTGGATGGCTCGCACCGGTAATCATCTCCGCAAAACTTATAATTCAAGAGTTATGGCTAAAAGATTTGGATTGGGATGCAACTGTTCCAGAAAACCTAACCAAGAAATGGAATGCCTTTTATAATCATCTAAAAGAACTAGAAACAATCCGCATTCCGCGTTGGATTCACACCTCAAAATCAGACACTCAAAAAATGGAACTTCATGGGTTTTGCGACGCCTCTGAGAGAGCCTATGGAGCTGTCATTTACATTCGTGCCATATCCAAAGAAGGAAAAGTGCACATAACTCTCTTAACTGCGAAATCAAAAGTAGCGCCAGTACGCACGAAAACTTCGCTACCACGTCTCGAATTATGTGCAGCAGTACTAACTAATTGTACCTGTACTTCTTTTTCAGGAAAACTTTTGTCAAAAAGACCCTATGAAAGATACTATGAAAATCTGTATAAGCAGTTCTGGAATCAGCATACACTAGATTAGTCCAGTTTAGGTACAAAAGTCTTTGGTAAAAAAGGTTAGTATTGGTTGTAGACATAACTCTTTTTTTAATGAATTTTCTGTTTTTTTCAGGGGTGTTTGGGTTCACCTTAACTTCTACAATTTGGCCATTGTGGTCTGCAAAGTGTAAATTTATTGTTTTAGTAGCCTGAATTGAGTTTTTACTGGCATTTGTTGCTATGTTATCAATACAGGTGCTGGAAATATTTGTTACTCTTGATGGTTCATTTATTAGAAATTGCATTCCAAAGGTGGTGATAATGTTTTCTAACTCCATATATTCTTTGGATTTGATTAGGCAATTTAAATTAAAATCCCCTAAAATATATATATTGCAGTTTTCATATTTGTTAGTTAGGTAATTTAGTACTTCGTTTATTTTTTCCATGAATAAAGCAAGGTTTCCAAGGGGAGATCTATATAAACCTACTATTACTAAATTGTACTTTTTAAATGCAGCTGCAGCTAGTTCTATATGTCTGTCTTGCGATAGGTCTCTGATCTCGTTTAATTCTTCTGATTCCATATATTTCTCTGCAAATAATAATACACCACCATTCTTGAAATTTGTTCTTGAGTATTGGCTTGCTATGTTATAATTTCTTAGAGTTAAACTTTTTATTTGTTCTGGATTTAGCCAGTGTTCAGTTATACATGCTATTGATATATTTTGTTCTTTTAGGATAAGATCAATGGTGTCGATTTTATTCGTTATGCTTTGTACGTTAATGTTTAGTATTGTTAAGAAATTGTTTGTTTTGTTCGTGTGATTAAAAAAACTTGCTGTTTTACAGTTCAAATTCTCTTTGCCTTCGAAATGTGTACTTGCGTACGATTAGATTTTGCGGCCAAACCTCAGGCTTCAGGACTGATTCCAATAGGCTAAAATCAAAACCAATCTTGAATGATTTATTTTTGTTTGTATTGTTTTCGTGTTTTTTAAGTTCCTCTACTTCAAAATTTACAGTTGGAAATTTTTTCTTTAGGTAGTTTGCTAGTTTTACCTCGCATGTATTTGGTTGGGCCCTGCCAATGTATAGCCAAGTTTTTTTGTCGTCGCTTTAAATTCATCCTCTTCTGAAGTTAGTGCAGTTCCTTTTATGGTGTTTTGTTTGCTTTTAGACTCATTTTGATTTTTTGTTTTGACAGCTGGCTTCTCGTCTAGGTTATCAGCGGCGTTGCCAGATTTATTTGGGACACTGGAACTACTTTTTAATATTCCTTTATTGTCAACCTTATCATTGGTTTTTGTTGAAGAAGAAGAAGAAGGCGGTGCAACCTTAACCTCACTTTTGCAAATATTTTGCGAAATTAAGTGTTTGATTACCTCAGATTGCTCTTCCACTCGATCCTCAAGTTGTTTCAGCATTTTTGATACCATTTCTCTTTGCCCTTCAAAGTCTTTTTTGGTTTTAGGTGGATCTACTTCGGGGTCAATGACCTCTACAGTGCTAAAGTGCAGTTGGATGTTTTTCGATCATGCCCTCACTTATCCCCGTAGTGTTTATTACTGGGACAGCCTTGGTCACGATAATTGAAATTAGATCTTCTTTTGTAAGTCTCTTCAACACATTATTTAAGTAGGTAACGTCTGCTACAGTCGCCATCTTAAAAATAGTTGAGTTATCCCCAAACATTAGATATTACCACAAAATGTATTAAATATAATAATCATATAATATCTTTAGTTTCATAATAAATATTGCATATAAATATGTGGCAATTGTTTTATTTGTAGCTTCCATTTTGTGTTGTTGAGTTTAACCATGAAAATGTTGATTACATATCATGTGCTCCCACTTCATGGTTTAAAAAAAATCAGATGGCAATTATTGCCTGTGGCCAAGCAGTAAAAAAGAAGAAAGGAAGGCCATCATTAGGCAAGTTTCTCCACAAAAAGATTGGCTAAAGTTAAAAGTTTTAGGGAAATATGGTAAAATCCATTTTTTATTGTATATTGTGTTTATTTTTAATTATTGTACAAAAACATTTTTTAAATATAAATAGTACATTTTGACCAGACCCTAACATAAATTTTTATTTAATTTTGTTTTAGCAAATTATGATCAAGCTCTCATAAAAGAAAAACGCTACTGCAAAACAGAGGACACTGATGAGATGTCATCAGATTTATTAAAACAGAAAAAGAATAATAAAAAAACAAAAATACACAGATGTATTTAACAATGATGACGAGGACGATGCCGGTTCTATTTCCTCTGTTCCCAGTTTTGCGGGGGATGATGGTAATTACTTAAGTATTAAATGAATATTTAAATATAGTCTTTTATGCCCATTGCAAACCACTTATAGATATTAGTATTGTTAAAAAGAACAATAATTATTATTTTACAAATATTATGTGTTTTATTTAGATGTACACTCAGTAATACTATCAGATTCTAAAAAAGTAGTAATGAGATGGATAATATTGAAGTTATTCCAGATGTAGTAACAAACATGAAATCAAAGTTAGATGAAAGCACTGAAAAGAGCATGGATAAAAGTAGTAATGTATTAATAATTTTTAATTTATTTTTTCATACCTGATTTTAGGTAATTTATTGAAGGTGTTGCTTCAATTTAGAGCTGAAGTCAAGCTTCAATTGGAACCATAAATATACGTCTAAGTAATATTGAAAAAAAATTAGAAGGTCCAGGACCAGGAGTGAGAGAAAAAATGATATCTTCCCCCCGAAGAGAGGCGGAGACAAATGGAAGAAGAGGAATGCCTTAAAGAGAATGTTAACAATTTTTAGATTTATTAATTTTTTAGCAAGTGTTAATTTGTAAAAAGCTGAGCTTTTTGATTTTATATATTATTCCAATAAAAAAAAATACTAATATTCATTCAACACGGTCTAAACCCGAAAATGCATCACTTATTAATAATTCCATTCGTTAAAGCCTTAAATTCGGAATTATCATTAAATTATATTATTTAATCTGCTGTAAAGGAAAGCTTTCCAATGATCACAGATGAGCTGTTTGAAAAAACCATAATGGCGTGGTTCCAATTTTCAAAAACCCCCTGGTTCGTGCGATGCTTAAAACTCTAGGTATGATCTTATGTTCCCCTTACACGTTTTATATGTGTGTGTTTTTTATTTTAGAAAACTAATATTGACAAAATATTTATAATATAAGCATATATTTACAATTCAGTTTAACTAACTAGGCATAAAAATATATAATAATACATGTTTTAAAATACAAGTATTTTAAAGTGCATTTGTTTTGGTAGTAAATTTTAACATAATATGTATATATTATATATGTCGAAAATCAGCTGAATTACATATACAGTATGTCACTCTAAGTTGGAACCATATGGAAAACTTTTTTATTATTAATTTTATGAAAAAAAGTTCTTTATAGGGTAGGTTTGCCTAATTCCAGCCATTGCCAGTAGTCAGCCATTTTTCCCGCCAACTATTGTGTAACCCTCAAAGAACCTAACCTAAAAAGTTTAAACAGGTGGCTGCTTGGTTAGTGTCGTGTTTAAGCGGCTGTGTTTGGGTAAGTAAAATCCCTTAATTTGCTAAGTTGTGTGACGCTAGAAAATAGTCATTAAAGTGCAATAGGGCTGTATTTTTCTAGGAAAAATAATGTTATAACCTTAAATAGGTTTATACGTATATAGTAGATATTTGTTTTTAGGTTAAATCGGCGCCAATATATTTATTTCGTGGTGGCTGAGTAATAGACCGTCTAAATTATCCATAATCCAATAGTCAGCCTTGCCGGCCGGTTAGTCTAGAACCTTTAGAAGAAAATAAAACATTTTTCCCATGTAATGCACCTTTTAAAACACATTTATTTTTTCCAATGAATAAAGACAACATTATCAATCATAAAAAAATAGCCAAAAAGGAACGTCTTTCCGCAACCATTTCTTCCGCTGAGTTTAGAGATACGTTGCAAAAAAATATAGATAATAAAAAAAAGCTGCAGATGAAATAGCTTAAAGAAAATTAGAAAGACTAAAACGATTAACAACGAAAAGTAAAAATTTAACAAAGAGAAAAAACAGAAGAAAGAAACGAATAAGAGTTACGTATCTGATAAAGAATCTCTACCTGAAGAAGAAAATAAAGAAAACAAAATGAAGGAAAAATGTGCAGCTTGCAGTCTAGAAATGGATAGTGACACTGAGGACAACGAAGAAAAAAATGTTGGCTGTGATAGATGTCCCAAATGGTTTCATTTAAATTCACTCCATTTCAGGGATGTAACTATTATGAAATACGCAGAGTTTATTTGTGATTTTTGTAAAGTGTAATAAGAAAAAAAACACTTCAGAAGTACCTGTATATTTTTAAGAAATACTGTTCTATTTAATTTTTAATTTATATTTAAGAAAATACCTATGTTATGTTATTTCGTTTTATTTCTTACCAATTTCTTATTTTGTTTTAATAAACGAAATTTGTTTTGTTTTTCATACTTTTATTTCTTAACAATTTGTTATTTTATTGTAATAAACGAAATTTGTTCTGTGTTTCATACTTTTATTTCTTTACAATTTGTTATTTTATTGTAATAAACGAAATTGGTTCTGTTTTTTATGCTTTTTTATTTTTAAAGTACTGTTAAATCTGGCGATTTAAACATAAAATTATATAAAATTTTAATAATTTAAATTAAATTTAAGTGTTCCAAATTATTTGTTTTAAAATCAACTATTTGTCAATCAGCAAAATTATAAATTTCGACCTCAATTAATCTTAAAGTAATCATTTTTGTACCTGTATTGTTACCAAATGTGGTCACACAAATATAAGTTAATATTACTTAGGTTAGCAAAAATATGTATATAAATAGTGATAATTTAATAAATAAAACCAGTTACATTTTAACTCACAAACTCGACTTTACTATTGCCCCAAGCCACAAACCCTTAGAACGTGAGGCTGCGTTCTACAGTATTCAACAACCAGCAGATAATTTATCAATTATCTCTGGTCAACATTAACATAACAGCATTGCTGTTATTCATGGTCCTTCGAACAACGTTGAATCAACTAATGAAGCCAGAAGAAACTGCACATCAACAATCAAACTCCTGGAAAAGGCCCTTTAAAATTAACTTAAAGGGCATAGATACGTACTCCGACACCCCGTACAACCCCGTGAGCAACGACCCACGCTGTTGGAAAGGAAAATATACCAATCAACCCCAACCAATCAACTGGAAGCTAAGTCCAATAGACTGCGGGCAAGAATTACAAACATACCAGTACAAGGTACCAAAAACAATCGAAAACGACCCTAGGCGCTTGTACTTAGACCTTCACTGGGAAGCACGCCGACAAGCAAAGAACTTACAACTATTTGGACCGGACCCATTGGAAACAGAGCAAGAACAGATCCAAGATGCCCGGCCCTGGCGATCAACCATCCACCTGGGAAGTCAACCACCAAGAAGGAATGAGCAAAGAAGCAATTATTGAAGCAACAAACCAACTATGTCTTCTTCAAGAAGGCATAAGCAAACAGTTGAGTCAACTGTATACCAATACAAAAAAGGATTCACCCTCTCGAAAAACACAAGCGTACTTAAAAGAAAGGAGTGCCCTTGCGATGCAATTACTACATCAAGCCAAGGAAAATCATCAGAAGATCCAAAATTTTGGTTTAAATGAACACCCCTACATCGTGCAGAAGTACTTTGGTCAAATGGAAAAGCTTCAGGATGAGATAATGAAGTACCTGGAAAACTGTCCTAAAGCAGCCCCAAATCCCAGTGGTGTAACAACTTATCCAAAAGAAAGCCCGTCAACAGGAACAACCCCTTCGTTGGACATTCACCCTGCTGCATCCACAGACAGAATTAAGGAATGCAGTTCCCAGTACTGAATCGTCAGTGGAACAAAGAGATACAGGAACCAATGATCAGGCGAGACGTATTCGCATACAAAACGTTCGCTTTGACATGCTGGATCGTACCATCTACACCATCAACTCCGAATTACTAGAAGAGAAACCCAAAATTCGATTGGAATTTTTGCTGCAAAAAGTCAACAAATTGTGGACATCAATAATTGAGCTCAATGAAGAAATTGTAGCGGAAGGCACAGTAACAGACCATCCCTACTTTACAGAGGATACCTTCTGGACAATGGAACAAAGAGTGGAAGAAATTTGTGAACAAATCCAGATCAAAATCTCTTGCACCTTGGCAAATAACAAACCCAACATTACTTTGCCAAAAATACAGCTACCAACATTTAAAGGTGGTTATGAAAATTGGACATCCTTCCACGATGTCTTTTGCCGGGTGATCCATGAAAATACTACCATCTCAAACGTGGAGAAGATGCAATATTTAAAAACACATGTACGTGAAGAAGCAGCCAAATTAATCCAACATCTCCACATAACTGACGCAAACTATACAACAGCCTGGGCATTATTACAAAATCGATACCAAAACAATAGGCTCATAGTAGCAAAATTGGTGGACCAAATACTGGACATTCCCAAAGTACAGCAAGAATCACTACAACAAATCAGAAAGATTCACGATGTCATACACGAATGCCTAAAGGCGATAAACAATTTGGGCATAGATACTCAACCATGGGGACCCATCATTGGTCGAATC